ACATTTGCTCAAAGAGAACGGTCCCATAATTTACAACACATTTTCCCGCGGAATTCAACTAACCAGATGGTCCGATTGTTAGTATAGGGACAGGGTCTTGTAAATTCTATTCTGACCATGGTAAAAAAACTTTAAAATGAAAGATGTAAAGAGCGAAAACGAATATTTGAGTTTGCACTTGTATTTTAACGTACAAATTGCGACTCATCAGTGGCTTGACGTATTCATACCTGCATATATTAATTGAAACATTGGCAAATTTTCTGTTAGCACTTGCATTAAATTAAACAGTGTAAATATCAAGAATATTATAAATTTAAATAGGTAACAGCAAAAAATAAACTTTTTCTGTTAAGAAAACTATCTACTGAAAATTAAAATATTAATTTACAGTTCATTCAAAATTTATACCACTATTATAGAAAACATAATTTAAAAAATATATACAAGTAACTCTATATATACATGATTTTTTTTTTTAGAAATTTGTTTTAAACTTTCTGTTTATTATTTTTATTATTTTTTTTTAACATAAGAAGCCTAAATTTATGTTTAAGAATAAATTGCAAAAGGCAAATCAGTTTGCTAAATATTGCAACCTTACAAAAATCTAATGTGGGAGGTAAAATTAAATAACTTTAGTTGCTCTTCAGTAGAAATAATTTATTGTAGTTTTGCTGTATGATTCATTACTTATTCAATAAATGTTTTAGTAAATTAATTAAAAAATGCTTGCACATGGGAATTTTGTTAGTATTACTAATGCTTTTGCATGAATATTTTGATAATAAATAATACAACCTATGTAACATTAGTGCACATTATAACACTAAACATATAAGAAAATTTATAATGTGCAAAGGTATGTTTTTTAATGGAAAATCTAAACATAGTTCACAAAAACATGCAGTTATAAAGAAGAATATAAATTTTGTCGACAGATTCGTTTATGAATAACATTTGCTCAAAGAAAACGGACCCATAATTTACAATACTCTTTCCCGCGTAAATCGTTCGACTACCTACCCAGATGGACGTTTAGATTGTTTGTATAGGGCTTTGTAAATCCCGTTCTGACCATGGTAATAAAAATTAAAGTGAAAGATGTAAACAGCGAAGGACACTTGAGTGTTGCAAGTGCATGTGCGAATTACGATGGGCACTCTGTGGCTTGGCCTGATCGAACGGAAATGAACGAAATTGTACTGTATTTATTCATTGAAATCTGATTAATTTTCCGCTGCCGTTTGCATTAAATTAAGTAGTGCAAAATAAAAGGAAATTCAAATGACAATAAAAAAAACTTTGCATTAAGGAAATTATCTAATGAAAATCAAAATACTAATTAACAGTTCATCCAAAATTTGTTCACTATTAGTACTAAAAATATAATTTACAAAAATACAAGTGTCGGTGTGTGTATAGTATTTAATTTATTCAAACAAATTTGCTTTGGATTTTCTGTTTTTTTTTTTTATTTTTTTAACACAATATGTTTAAATTTGTCTTATGAATTTAAAATTAGAACCAAAATTTCAAATTTGTTCAATATTTTCATTCAACACAACTTTCTGAAATATCTATACCTAAATAAACTGCAAAATTTATAACAATTTGTTAAATTATATTCCAACTATCTAGAAATTTAATGTGGAACGGTAAATTAATTTCATTTGCTCTTAACTGGAAATAATAACCAGAGTGCAAGGACAGAGCTGGATACACATTGCCGTAATTAGGTTATTTTGTATAGGTTATTTTGTATATGTTTCATCCAACAACAGAATAGAACCAAAATTTATGGTACGGTTTCCCGCTCAAATGTCAGGAAGTAAAGATACCTGACCAGATGTTGGGATTCTGAGAATTGCTTGGGTTACAACCTGTCCAGGGCTTTTAGTTAACGCAAAAACTAACAGTATTATCCTCGAAGTTTTTAAACTTAAAATTCAAGGAAGTAAGCAGACATTAATAAACAAGGTTTTGTGATCGACACGTTGATTACTTGCCTTCATTTTATAAATAAGCAGACTTGTGTACATATACATATTATAAAATTGTTGTTATATAAATATAATTTTGATATAGTCTTCTCAAATGAACGTTACATTAACTGATAAATGTATATACACGTTGCTTGTAACCTTGACTATAATCAATAAATTATGTTATTCACGTTTGAATAACTAGAAATTTTATTTTTCTATATATGGATATCAATTGGCAATGTATCCTAGAAGATACAACAATGATTTATTTACATCTTGGCGGTGTATCTCTACAGATACACCTATCGATGCTTGGAAACGAGGCAGTGTGTACCACAGGATACAACCATGATTCTGCCTAAACTTGGCAGTGTATCCCGTGAGATACACACAGTTTAAATCTTAATTAAATGCTATGTATAAAGTATTTTCAACAATGAGTTAACTATATGTTATTTATGATGCTTTTAGAAGGTTCCAAAATAAAAAACAAGCTTTGTTGGCCCAAAATACCAGTATAATTAACAATTTTGTAAGAGCATGTACTGAAAATTTCGGAAAGTTGAATAAGAACCATGCGCGCTGCAACAAAAACGTTGTTAATTTGCTTTAAACATTAAGTAAAATTCATAAAAAAAATACATGTTTTAAATGAAACATACAGCACAACATTGGTATGATTTTGAAAACGAAATGGTACAAATTACGAGCAAAAAAAATTTTCGATTTTATGTATCTCACAAGATACATTGCCAAGTTAAGGGTTAACGCAGAAGAAATCAGAAAATCGATCTACATGCTAGAATGGCCGGTGTTCAACAACTATTCTCAGAAACAAGAAGAAATAATCACGAAATGTGTGAAAACTTGTAAGAGAAACACTTGGCTATTTTTGGGTTTCTGTCTGATGGCTTTAGTGACCTGGGGCTCGACGCCATTTCTTGGAAGCGCTAACAAATTTCCTATAAAATTGTGGCTTCCTTACGACACAAGTTCGCATAAAATCTTATACATTTTTACGTATATTCTTATTGTTTCGGGTAAACGGATTTTTTAAATTTGTAATGTGTTAGTTAAAAAGTTAAGTTGAATTTGCAGGTGTTGGTAATGGCGCTGCTTCTAATGGTGTGATAGATCCTTTAATAGCTGGATTATCATGTTTTGCTGCCACTCAGCTCAAAGTGCTCAAAGACAATTTGGAAAATTTGGGGACTGACGCTGAAGAAATAGTGCGTTCTAACTATGATGAAAAAAATAAGGAGTTGAAGGAAAAATTAAAAAATGATATTATTTATAACAAAATTGGACAATGTATTACTCACCACACTGCAATTATAAAGTAAAAGTAACTACAATATTTTAACAACATTATAACAAGTACTTTTTTAGATTTATCGAGCACTATGAAAAAGTATACTCTCCTGTGCTATTTACTCAGTTTGTGGCAGCAGTTGTTGTTGTCTGTCTTTCCTGCTTGGAGATGAGTATGGTATCTATTTCACAATTTCACTTGAATCTTCAGTGACATTTTTTCATTTTTCACAAAATTTTCATTTTAATGGTTCCAATTTCAGGTTGAACCCACCAATTTTAAATTTGTCGTTATGGTTATATTCCTTCTTACTATGCTTTTGGAAATATTTCTGTACTGTTATTTCGGTTCTACTTTGTACGAGGAGGTGGGAATTCGTTTTTTTTTTTAATCGTTGTCATAAGAATTACAATTTTAGAGCAACACTTTGACGACTGCCATTTATATGGGTACGTGGTACGAATATGACTTAAAATCGAAAAAAGCACTTATTATTTTGATGGAACGTTCGAAGAGACCGATAATTGTTACTGCAGGAATAATATTAGAATCGTCGCTTGTGACTTTTACTACTGTACGTATTTTTTGACCAAAATACTGGTCTTAAATTCGTCTGATATTTGTTAACGAAGAGCTTTTAGATCTTGAGAAGAGCTTATTCGCTGTTGGCTGTGCTTCAGCATTACAAGATAGAAATGTAAAAAAAAAGTGGCAAATCTGGAGAACTAATTGATTTGGACTTTCATCAGTATCCTAGTTAACTTTAAAAACTTGTATTGTCTTCACCCACTAAAGAAAACACGTAGTATAATTTGTAAATAGGTTGAAACGCTTTTCATTATAGGTGATTTTGAACATTAATAACCCATTTCTGAAGAGCCACTTTGAACAATTTTCTTGGATACATCTTTTTGTGTTAACACAGTTTAAGAGTAAAGAAGTGGAGATTCAAGCTGTAGACATGTCAAAAAAAGTAATGTGTACAATTTTCGCAACAAACAATATTTGTTCGAAATAAGTCTGTTAAATTTCAAACAAAAAAGATTTCTTGATAAATTTATCTAGAGTGAATGGTTCCAGAGATAATGTAGACTAAAAAATGATGAATGTTTAGTCGTAAAAAATGTTTGATTATGCACTTCCCGAAAAAAGAAAGCCACATTCAGCAGTACTCAGAATTCAAAGATCAAGAAGGACATTTATCTGTTTTCCTCCTTTTTTTTAAAAAAAAGGGTAATAATTTTCAACAAAAGAAACTAAAATATATAAATGGAAAAGCGATACTTGGAATGTGTTTTTGTATTTAGATATTTAAGCAATAATACCTAATTAATAGTGATTTTTTGAAGGTAAAACAATGTTTTTAGATTTTATAAAAATTGTTATTTAGATGTGGTAGTTAGTTTTTTCCAACTTTCTTCGAGATAAGTAGTAATAAGCAAGCGTTCTTTAAGCACTCAGTATTTTAAATCAGTTTCCTTTTCTTTTGATCGGAAACTAGCTAACGTAAAGCCTATTTACAAAAAAGTGATCAACACTGCACAACTGATTATTATTGGCCTATAAGAATCACTTCTCTTGTCGTAAAAATGATGGGATCTATTACTTGTGACAGTTTTCGTGTGTTGTTCAAAAAATTCTACTAGTCTAACTTTATTTATTTTGACTTTGCAAAACAGTTTGACAGAGTTCTAGCTCTTTTAGTTTTGTTTAAATCCTTCCTTGCTGGGCGACTTTTTAGAGTAAAAGTTGGTGAGGCAGTGAGTGACTGTAGGCAGGTAATAAGGGAGTGTTCCGCAAGGGACTGTCTTAGGACCTCCACTGTTTCTTGTATATACAGCCGATTTAAGGGGGAACGCTAGACGAGAGACAGGTTTGAATTGGGCGCCATTTGTTGCCTTAAACGCAACCAGCAATTCTTCTTTAAATCTACCTGACCCGCAGGGATAGACTACCGGACGTGGGTCATAAAAACATCCTAAGCCGATAATGCCGAATAATGATAATTTATTCTTTTGACATATTAATTTTAATATTCCAGATAATTATTATATTATTCAAACACAATTTAGACACTGTAGAGCAAACAAGGCTTATCAAACCCGTCTATTAGTTTGTTCGCCTAACTGTATTATTAATACCGTTTTCAAATTACACCAAAATTGAAAAATCGAAAACTTAATAATTGAAAAATTGAAACATTTTAAATGAAAAAAATCCGTAAACCGAAAAATTGAAAAATCTATAAATCGAGAAATTGAACAATCTAAAAATTAAACAATTTAAAAATCGAAGAATTGAAAAACAAAAAATCTAAACCGAGAACTTGAAAGATCGAATAATCGAGAAATCAAAACATCAAGGAAAACAAAAAAATTAACGGAAAATCTAGAACTTAAAAATTGAAAAATTAAAATACCTATCAAAAATTTAAAAACCGAGAAATTCAAAAAAATGGAAAAATTGAAGAACCGAAACACTGCAAAATTTCAGAACTGAAATACTGAAAAACTGAAAAATGGAAGGAAAATTGAAAAATCGAAAAAGTGAAAAAATTCAAAACTGAAATCTTGAAAAACTGAAAAATGGAAAGAAAATTGAAGAATCGGAAAAGTGAAAAAATCCAACACTGAAACATTGAAAAATCCAGAAATCGAAAAATTGAAAAATCACGATTGAAGAAAGAATTGAAAAATCAAGAAATAGAGAAATGGGAAAATCAAAAAATCGGTTAATCGAAAAATTGAAAAATCAAAAAATTTAGAAACGTCAAAAGTTGAAAACTAAAAAATAAAAAAAATTTAAAACTCGTAAAACTGAAATATCGTAAAGTTAATAAATCGAAAAACTGAAAATTTAAAAAAAAAAATCTCATCAAAAACTAAAAATTCAAAAAATCGAGAAATTCAACAATCAAAAAATCAAAACATTGAAATCCCATTAAGTTGATAAATAGGAAAATTTAAAAAAGAAAAATTTTAAAAATCCAAGAATTGAAAAACAAAAAAAATCTAAGCCTGAAAACTCAGAAAATTGAATGATCGAGAACAAAGAATCTAAAATTTAAAAATTCGACAAATTGAAAAATCATGGAACTGAAAAATCGAAAAGTCGAGATAGTGAGAAATCTAAAAACCTAAAACTTTAAAAACTGAAAAATAAAAATATCGAAAAATTTAAAAACCGAGATAACACAATATCAAAAATTTGAAAAATTGAAGAAACGAAATATTGAAAAATTCCAAAGCTGAAATATTGAAAAACCTATAAATGGAAGGAAAATTAAAGAATCGAAACAGTGAAAAAATCCCAAACTGAAACATTGAAAAATTAAGAAATATAAAAATGGGAAAATAAAAAAAATTGGTCTAAAGAGTTTAGACAGTATTTTCCTCGCTATCGGAAACGTGACGACTGCATGCCTATTATGTTTTTTTTTTCACACTAGATTTCAAAGCATTCGGTTTTGTAGTTCCTGATTAAATCAATAAAATAAATTTGCGCATTCATTACATTTTTTGAGTCACCCTGTATATCCGAATACAAAAAATATGAACGGAATGATAAATTACAAGAAGAGACTCATCATATTTTATACAATTTAGATAGGATTTATTTAGCAAAATTTTGAGGTGAGTCACCAATTTTTTCGAGGGGATAAGTAAATATATTGTGATTTAAACGGTCCTGGTTTAATAACAAAAAAATATTGTTCGTCTATAAAACAAGCTCGTCTTAGACAAAGTATTCGTAAAAAAAATATGTCGTAAAAAAATGTACGTGTGCTGGTACCAACTGCGATTATGGTTTAAATATTTTTTAGAAAATCCTGTCATGAATGTAAAAACATTTGTGACAGCCAAAGAGGTTTTTTTGAGAAAATTATCTTTGAATTTAGACCAAATTGAAATAGACACTAGGCACATTTGGGCAAAAGAAAGAGAAATTAGGGTTACGGCTTCAAATTTTGGACGTATTTACAAACCTAGACTGACTACAGCAATAGCTAAAACTGTGGAGTCTCTGTTGTACAGTACATTTAGAGGTAATAGTCATACATACTATGGACAACAAAGTGAAGAAAAAGCTGTCGAGTGTTTTGAAATAAATAAAAATATAAAAACTGTGGCTTATTTATTTCAAAACAATTTGCTTACTTGGCTGCTAGTCCAGAGAGGGTTCTAAAGGATACGAGAGCATTAGTCGAAATTAAATGCCCTTCAAAATCGCAAGATTTGTCTCCCGAAGAAGCGGTTAGAAAAAAAATAATCAAATTTTGTACATTGACAGACAGAGAATTGAAACTAAAAAAAGAATCATGATTACTACTTTAAAGTCCAGGGACAAATGATTGTTACGGGTATTTCACAAGTTTATTTTGTTGTATGGACACCCAAAGGAATAAATATAGAAAAATAAAGTATAAAGACGAAGAAATATATGTAAAAAGATGGCAAATAAACTTGGCAGATTTTACTTTGGCGCATTATTGCCCGAAATAATTGATTCAAGAAGAAAGAGGAACCTGCCATTGCGAGAGATTTTTTTTTAATTAAATAAAATTTGTTTCTATTTTTTTATGTACTTTAATAATTTATTAGGAGTACATTTTTCCATCACCAAGACTTGCATATTTTTATTATAAATATATTTTGAAAATGAAAACATATACGAACACTTTTTTCGAGTAAACAATGAAGGGAGAAGTTACTGGGCGTAGGGCTTTTTTAAAACACCTCCTTTCTGGGATAAGTAGTAGATACACTTAGCTACTTATACGTGTTAAACAAAAGCTGTATTTTATATATTTTTTATTAAGACCCACCACTGACCCGGAAATGACCGGCATTCAGGCAAGACTTCTATCATTACGGGTACTAAGACCAAGTAATGATATGCATTGATTAGATTAACAGAACAACTTTCGAGATTCTAGAATTACAGAATACAAATTAGTCTGCTATTATTCTCTAATCTCACCCCATCCCCAAAAGTCCAGCGTAACTACCGACCATTTATCCGCGCATCACATGAAAAGTGACCTACACTACTCTGACCTACTGGTGCTAATCTAATCTGACTGACATGATCAGACTGTTCAAGAAACTTACGAACAATATGACATGTTCCTAACAAAACAGCTTTTTGAATTTTGACAATTATTGAATCATTCAAATGCAAAGACTTTAAATTCTCAACTAAGCTATTTGGAACTACACCTACATTAGAGATAACTAGGGGTAGAATTGAAATTTTTTTAAGATTCAACATGGATTTCATTTCTATTATTATATTTATAAATATGTTTATTAGTTTTATTAATTAACAAAGCAAAATATATATTAACAATAATATTACAATGAATTTTTAGTAATCATGTGTATTGGATTCAGGATCCTGAGTGGAGTAAAAATATTATAGTTCCCCAGTTTTAATTCGGTTTTATGATAGTACCTCATTGCGTAAAAGTTAATTTCCTTAACAATAGATTACTACGGCCCGTAGTCGCTTCCGTAAATTTTAGTGGCGCTCCTATCGGCAAAGTACTGAACTAACTGCTCAAATTCTGTCGAATTGATACCCATTTTTTTCAATAATTGTTAGTTTTTGTTAAAAACTCTGCTAACCAATAGATCATTAATTTTCCTCTGATATTCCTGTTAAAATTATTCGACGTATTTTGCATTAATTTGTGGTATATTTTGATTTTAATAAACACATTATTATTTAAACAAATTGTACCACTAACAAACATTTAATGACCCTCCGCCCTGTACAAAGTGATGTTTTATCCATGTGCGAATTTTCAAGCGATTCTATGATGGTTATGACTCAAAAAACTTGAAAAGAAAATATACAATGGTGCTTTTTTAACGATATTTCTCAGCCATATTTTTTTAGTTCATTGAACTGGTCTCTGTGCTCTAGAATATGAAAAAAGCTGCAGTTTGATGTATGATACATCTATATTAATATCATTTTTTCATTCAAAAACCCAAAAAAATGTTATACCTCGTCTAGCAAGTCCCCTTAACAAAGCATCTTCTGTCACCATGATGATTTTAATATTTAGAATTCGTCGTGCAAACAAAATATGTATAAATGTTATCAGAAAACAAAAATTCTTTATAATTTTTCAAAGAAGCGGACTGTACTTAAAGGGCGATGGAACTTCTGTCGAACTAACTTGGATCAATTTTTTAATACCACTTAACGAAAAATGTCTCAATTTTTAATTAGCGTAAGTTGGATTTTTGGAAAAATTTTTGAACGATGTGTGTTAGTTATTTCATAATAAATACTCTCCGGTAATATTATCAATATGTTTTCATCATTCATCATCATTATTATTGAAAGTATGAAATTTGTCAAAAGCCGTAGCTCATTTGGTGAAAAGAGGTTTCAATTGCCCTAAAGAAATCTCTAAATATCTCCAAATCTTACCACTAACATAATCAGTTCCAAATCAATGAGAAACCCTTATTTTTAGTAAACTCAGAGGTAAGTTTTTGATAGTTTTTCAAATCGGTTCAAATAATGACGTTTGTTTTAATCGTCATTATTTGAACCGATTATAGACATTCGATTGCTTTTTCTCCTTGATTCTCGCTGAGGTTTTATAAAAGCGTTGTAATATTTTCAGATTTTCGTGGTTTGTTGTTAAAATTGTTGTTAGTAAAATTTGATGAAGTTTTAAGCTAGTGATTACAGACTAGAAATAATATACATATAACAGAAATTTGGTGACATCATCTTAAAGTTGTGTTAAATAAATCCCACTTGATGTAATTAATTGTGTAATGTGGTGCTCTTCTATTTGTGAACTAGTCATCCATTTTTATTTTGCAACTTTAAGAAAATGGATTATTATTATAACCTGAAAAAATCAAAATTCTATTTATAAAAAAATAACCCGGCATGTCGTATAGATAAACTTGGATAAAGGTTTTTACTTAATTAGAAAAGACAGGAGTATACAGGGTAAGGAAAAGTACTGATTATGTCAAGTATTCCGAAAAAATTTATTGTACCTATTAAGTTTTGCTTAGACACTACATAATGTGTTCAACTTATTACGTTGAACACAAACTTTCAGTACGCTGGAAAATTGGCGTCGTTGGGAGACGTATTTTGTTCTAAATTCAGTATATGTCTATGTGTTTCTTACTTTTATTGAATAAAAAAATGTGTGCTGATCTTGCAATCTCGATGGTGTTGCTATGCGGCTAGATTGAATTTACAGTTCTGCAGTTGAATCACTTTTTTTTTTCATAAATCTATCCTATAATGCTGAAGCACTGCTAGCAACGAGTACGCTCTCCTCAAAATCTAAAATTATCTTTTTAACAAATTTTTGCAGCTGTAAGTCGATATAATACGATACAAATTTCATTAAAAATTTACACAAAAATACTGTAAGAGTTCTATCGTATCAAACGACTTTTCTTAGTCATAACAAGTAAAAATACGTACGGCAGTAAAAGTCACAAGAGACGATTCTAATATTTTTCCTGCAGTGATTATAATTGGTCTCTTCGAACGTTCCATTAAAATTATAAGTGCTTTTCTAGATTTTAAATCGAATTCATACCATGTACCCATATAAACAGCAGATGTTAAAGTGTTGCTCTGAAAATTGTAATTTGTATAACCAGAGTTTGAGAAAAAAATTATCAACACCTCTTCATATAAACTGGAACCGAAATAACAGTGTAGAAATATTTCCAAAAGCATAGTAAGAAGAAATAAAATCATAACGAAAAATGTGTAAGTGAATGGTTCAACCTGAAATCGAAACCTTTGAAAAGTTCAAAAAGTTCAAAAATACATACCATACTCAACTGCAAACAGGAAACGCAAATAACAAGTACTGCTGCCATAAACTGAGTAAATACCACGGCTGAATATATTCTTTCATAATGTTGAATAAATCTGAAAAGTATATGTTATGATGTTAAAAGTATTGCCTTTACATTTACGTTATAATTGTAATGTGATGATTAATGCATGCCCCAATTTTACTGTAAATAATATTATTTTTCAAAATTTGATACAGCGCCTTATTTTCTTCATCACAGTTAGAACCAATTGCTTGTTCTGCTTCTGTTCCTAAATTTTCTAAATCATCTTTTAATATTTCAAGTTGAGAGGCAGCAAAACACGCCAATCCAGAAACTAGAGGATCTATCACACCATTGGATATCGCACCATTACCAACACCTACAAATTAATTATAACTGTCTTTAACGGAAACTAAATACAACTTTTGGACATACGTACCCGAAATAATGAAAATATAAGTCAAAACATACATCTTGTCGTCCGAAGTTGGTTCGAAAGGGAGCCAAATTTTTATAGGAAATTTATGCACGCTCCCAAAAAATGGCATTACGGACCAAGCCACAAAAGATATCATACAAAAACCCAAAAATAACCAAGTGTTTCTCTTACAAATTTTCACACACTTCTCTATGATTTCTCCTTGTTTCTGAGAGTAGTTGTTGAACACCGGCCATTCTAGCATGTAGATGGACTTTCTAATATCTTCTGAGTTAAAAATAAATGGTATTAATTTAGATATGAAACATCCTCCTTGAAACATTATAAACGAGCTCTCTCCAACTTGAACTAGATCTATATTTTCGCCAACTATTAAATGAACTGCTGCTAGTATTGGAACAGGAATGGTGAAACTCACGTATACGGCATAGGCGTAAAATCTGTAAAATTTCTTGAATTTTTGAGGCGGATAGAAGCCTAGTAATCGCATTATGATCAAATTTAATTTGAAGATTCTATGCACTTGACCGTCCATCTCGAGCGATGCACTGTTTTAGTCTAATTACTAGCTCGTTGGAACCGTTCAAACTCAAAAGATATAATTACTGGTTATTAAAGTATTTATTTAATAAGTAAGGGTAGTATTTGTAACGTTTCATTAAATTCAACTCTCACTAATTTAAGGAGTTATTTATTATGGATGGACGCAGCTTTAAAACAAAAATACATACGGCTTATTATAATTAATTTTAATCAAGAAATTGTATTTCAGCTTAGACTAAATTTCAACGAATATATTTAATGCATGAAATACTCACTTTGAAAAGATAAGTAAAGGGAACTGGAACAAACCCGCGATCTAGTGTAATATACTTAAACATAAATTATTGATTTTTCTTTTAAGTTCTTGAACAATTAGTTAGAGAAAAATTATTAACAGTGACTTTTACATAAAGCGTCGCTAGAATGTATAGAAACCGCTAAATATCTAGAGAACCAATTATACAAATCAACTGAAATTAGATGTAGGAGTACAAGAATGCTTAATTTGTTTTCGCGATGCAAGATCAACTTGATTTTTTTTTAAATGAGATGACCATATAATTAATGCATTTTTGAACAGAGCCTTTTTTCTGAACTGATATAGCACAACCATACTTTCTTTCTAATTGAAATGGCAAAATAAATTATTTTAAACAAGAATACGTAAAAAAGAAAGACGACAATCATAGTTACCTTTGAAAATAATTTTAATTTGATATCTAATGGTGCATCTAATAAAGACAGTCCACATTTGATTGCTTAACTTCATTTCTAACAACAAGTTAAAATTGGCAACTATCTTTCCGATCCACTTAAAGTTACATCTGGTGTACCGCGGGGTTCCCACTGTGGCCCAATTTTATTTGTTTTGTATATAAATGACTTAAGTCATTGTGGGCATTTATTTGGCGGCACTGTAAAGATATGGGTTCCTATGCATTGAAGATGATATATTCTTCGTTGGTGTAGTACTACTAGAGTACTGCTCTCCTATTTGGTACCCAATATATATATAAGAACGATATTACCCTTCTGGAACGCGTTCAAAGGAAGTTTCCTTCCCATTAATGTCCGAATTGGGTTATATTTTTAATTTTGTAAAATGGAGATTTTCCGTAAAATAAATTATTAATAATAATAATTAAATAATTATTATTATCATTATAAAATACAAAATTATTAAATCTGAACAAACTTTTAAAATCACACGAATATAGGTACTCCTAGTAGTCCTAGTTGTAAAAAAGTGAACACTATTTTGAAGATTTCTGAGATATCAATGAAGATACTTAAAATGACATGAGTTGACGTGATTTTATCTTGGACTCTTCAAAACTCATCTAGTTAATGTTCACTGTTTCAAAATTGGAAGTAGATCTTTATTTGTAGTAAGAAGTTTCTCGCAAAAGTTGGACAAAGACAAAAATGATAGCATATTAAAATAAAAATGGGACTGATTATCCACTCTTGATTATCTGGAGAATATTAGCTAACAAACTAAAAAACTACGGAATTTAAAAGAAATTATTATAAGTTCATTCTAAGAACCAGCTCTTCTCCTAGTGATGTTTGTGCAACTTGGCAAAATGTGATTGATCAAGTTCCGGCTGTGCATTGGAATAATTACGTTAGACATTCTGATAAAATAATAAATTGTGCTTGGAAAAATAAAAAATTTTCAGATATTTCAGAACAGAATGAAATTATTATTAATTTGAAGTAGCCTTGAAGATTTAGATGTCGATATGTTATAATTTGAAACTTTTTCTTATTAAAACTTCCGTTTAATTATTCGCTTTATAAAAAAGAAAAGTCACAGTTTACCATTTTTTTAGTTGAGGGGAAATATAACAATTGGAACATATTCGTACGATATAAGAAATGATCTACGAAAAGTTACTAAAAAATGTCACATCTAAGTGTTTTAGACTAGGGGTATTTCCACGACTATGTTTAATGTACTACGAACAACAACGTTAACCAGGATACAACAGACTATGAAAATATGAATGTCAAAGATACAAATAGGAATATTACAACGCTTTTATACATAATACAATGGCTAGTATATTCTTACCTTTTTGTTTCTTTCTTTCTAAGCCTTTTTCTACCACTTGACGTTAAGAGTCACACAGGTATACTTCCAGTTTTCAAATTGTAAATATTGTTTCAATAACTTGTTGCGTTTACTTGGAGTTGATCAATTATACAGTTCAGGATTTTGTTACCAGTAGTTAAAAAAACCTCGCTTGAAAAAAATTTATCACAAGGTCGGTGTTCGTTATTTCACAACCGAATGTATGTAAATTATAGAAATAGAATCACAATTTAATCATCGGGAGAAAATTTACGCGACATCAGTGCAGCTTTTTTAAAAAATGTCTAAGACCACTGTTTGTCTATAATATGGAACGTTCGAAGAGACCGATAATGATTACTGCAGGAATCATTTTAGAATCGTCGCTTGTGACTTTTACTACCGTACGTATTTTTGCTTGCTATGACCAAGATCATACGCGTCAAAGTCGTCTGAATTTTGTTAAAGAAGAGCTTTCAGATTCTAAGAAGAGCTTATTCGTTGTTGGCAGTGCTTCAGAATTACAAGATCGATATGTAAAAAGAAAATGGCAAGAACTAATTGAACGAAAAAAAGTGGTTTGGAGTAGTCTATGGGAATCGTACAATCGTAATTGAGTGATGGCATTCTTTAGGGTTCTCAAAATGTTCAAGCAATGTTTCCATGTTCTAATCCAACTAATTTTTTTTTCGATAGAATGTATTATTGAAGAAAACACGTTGTCTAATTTGTACATATTTTTTTTTAAATTTGGTGGATGTCGTGTGATTTAGAATATGTCGCATTTTTGAATTCTTTAATTCATAAGGATCATATCATTCTAAAAGTTAAGAAGTGGATATTCAAGTCGTAGACACATCACCAAATTAAGGTTATGAAATTAATATATGTGACTGTATATAAATTGTTTTTATATGTATGTCTTTATTCATGTTAATACACAATAGTGTTTACACAAGTCAGTACCTAATAGGGAAAAAAAATAATATGTAACATTTATAACAATAAGACTAATATATTTGATAATAGAAATCAATAAGACTATATTTTATATTTCAAACAAATTGTTATGCAGATATTCCTCAAAGGAATAATATGCGTGGTCAAGGAGGTGCTGTTTAATTTTCATTAAGAAAAGTTTAGGAGTCATTTTTTTAAAGGAATTCGGTAATTTATTAAAAAACTTGATGGCATAATATGAAGTGCCAGACTTAGATTTGCTCAGTCTTAATAATTTAAAGGCGATTTCACCCGTTCTAGTTTCATATTGATGAAACGACTTTAGTGGAAAATAGTTCCCAAAATTTTTAATTAAATGCTCAAGGCAACGAAATATAAACAAACAGGGTAAGGTAACAATTTTTAGTTTAGTAAAATGTGGTTTGCATTCGTCTCGGTAACCAACACCAGCCACAATTCTAACAGCTCTTCTTTGGAGTTTAAAAAGTCTTTGTAATGAAGTTGAATGACCCCAATTTAGAATACCATGGTCAAAATGACAATGTAACAATGAGAAATAAGCGATTCTGATATATTTGGATGAAAGATTGTTACTTAAGTTACGAAGTAGATATATGCCTTTAGATATTTTGGTGGCTACGTAGTCACCATGTTTGGTCCAGCGTAACTCTGAGTCTATAAACAGGCCTAGATATTTTGTAGTTACAGGTGGACAATACTTATCACGTTTTAAGCTAAACTGCATGGTAACCGTTTTATCATTGTTCAAGCACAGACGATTAGCGCAGAACCAGTCTCCTGCCTGAACTTTTAGACTATTATTTACATGCAAGGAAAGATCAGCCGATGGCGCTGCATTACCCAAGGAGGTATCATCGGCATATAGCGTAATATCCGCAGACGGTATGAATTGAGGGAGATCATTAATGTATAGGAGAAATAAGATAGGGCCAAGAATGGATCCCTGAGGCACCCCATAAACAATTCGGCATTCATCCGACATTGACTCTTTAAAATAAACATTTTGCGTCCGATTACTTAAGTAACTCATAATAAGATTAATACTACTAGGATGGAAGTTATAAAAGTACAATTTGCGCATTAGTATATCAGGTGAAACGCAGTCAAACGCTTTGCTTAGATCTAAAAAAGCTGTAGTGTAAATTTCCTTCATTTCAAAACATTGTGTAATTTTGTCCAGTAAGGTAGAAATAGCAGAAGTAATAGAATGACCTTTTCGAAATCCAAATTGCTTAGATGATAACAATTTATCTTGCTCTACATAAAGAATTAACTGGTTTAGTAAAATTTTCTCAAAAATTTTCGAGATTATTGGCAGTATTGAAATCGGCCTATAATTATTAGGATCGTCTGGATCTCCTTTTTTTAAAATAGGAATTATTTTTGCTTTTTTTAATGCATTAGGAAATATATTTGATTCAATACAATGATTGATCAATTTTGTTAACGGTGCTATGATATTATTCTTTATACCTTTAATAAGACTGACGTTAAATCCATATATATCCCTCGTATTACTATTACGTAGACTTTCTAAAACTGCACGTACTTCTGTTTGAGACACTGGCTGGAATAAGAAGTATTGAGTACTGACTTTCAAGTGAGTCAATACCGACATAGGATCAAATTTTGGTTTAGGTAGAGATGTTATTATGGTATTGGGAATTGTACTAAAGAAGTGATTAAAATGGTCAGGGGTTATCCTACAATTCTTTATTATTTTTGTTTCTTTAGAATTATTAATAATTTTCCACAAAGCCTTGGGATTATTTTTATTACGTATTATGTACCTTTCATTGTATTGAACTTTTGCTCGTTTTATAGCTAAATTATATTTCTTTTTAAAATTTATTAATAGCTTTTTTGATTCAGATGAACAATTCAACTTG